AAAAAAAAAAAAAAAAAAAAAAACTGCCAGGCCCCCCAGAGTTTTCTAACCAAAAAAAAAAAAAGTTTTTTCTAACCAAAAAAAAGTTTTCCAAGCCAAAAATGTGTGGAAGTAAGTTTGGTTTCGGGCAGCCAGTGAGTGGTGTCAGATGTAATCCCACAGCCACACGGAATCAGAGGACGCTTCTGCAGAAAGGGACCAGGTCGGGTCAGAGGTGGGCATGGCCAAGGAAAGGGTGCCCACGAGTTTGTCTCTCACCTCTGGGGTGGCACAGCGTGCAGACTGTCAGCCATGCAGTCAGCAGGGTCAGCAGGGCAGCAATTTCCCTGTGAGCTGCTCAGTGTGTCACCTTAGAACAGGCTCAGGTTCACAGCTGCACGACGGGACCCTTACTCAGCATTTTTCCATCATTTTTTCCTGAGTGGGAAAGGAGAAAGGAAGCCTGGCTGCAGCCAAGATCTCTGCATCGGGCCCTGGGAAAGCCTTCCCAACCTCTGGCATCCCTCTGCATCCAGGTCCACATGCATCAGAACCCTAGGAGGCTGGGAAAGTACAGAGTCGCAGGCCACCGCTCCTCCAGCAGAATCCCGGAGAAGGAAGTCAAAGAACACTGTGTAGTAATTTTTTCCCCAAGTGCTTGAGGCGGTCGTTATTAGCACAATCACCCCAAGGCAGGCAAGGTGGAGAGAGCATCTGCAAGTGCTGCTTAGAGTGCATGGAAAAGGCGAAAATGTTCAGTGATCCTGTGCAAAGACACACAGAAGGGACATGGCCAGGGTGAGCACAAAAGGCCAAGCAACAGGAAGAGTGTCAAGTTGGTTAGAGGCCACAAGTTGTTCCACCTCCGGTAAATGTGCTCAGGATGGTAAGAGGTGTGCTTAGAACAGACAGGCTGAGGCAAGAAAGACAACCAGGAGGAAGAGCCCACCACCAAGGGTACGATGGAATTAGGCAGAATTATACAGCTTGAATTTCAGCCTTCATATCTATTAAAGAAATCTCCAGATTGGAAAGACTA